CACACTTTGCTTGGGTCACTCATTTGCTTCACCTTGGGACTAGAACCCGAGACTCCAAACCTTCCAGTGCCGCTTTCCCAAACCCCAACAAGCTTTGTCCTTGCTTCTGTGCTCTGTGAACGGTTTCTTGATTTGTCTAACTCAAAACGGTTAAATCTGTTGATCTTTTTTAAATGTCAAAATTAAGTGGCTGAACTGGAAGATCGATAAGGGCTTTTTCAATTCTAAAATCCTGCGGTGTATTCTATGATGTTTGTAGAGGGCCAGGTTTTGTTTTGTTTTGTTTTGCTGGGACAGAACGCCAGGGCCCCAAAGCCAGCCTAACACAGGTAATGGCGCGAGAACATCCTGAAGGGCCACCATCCCTCGAGAAGAATAAATGGAGTCACGGCCATCTCAGCTCCAGGAACCAGACATCTTGCACTAACATGCGGGACTACAATAGCTTTGACCTGCTTATTATCCGCTTTCGCTATTCCTTTCCGCTCTCCCCATTCTCAGCCCATGTGCTGATGGTCAGGCTGACCTTGTCACTCAGGGGTGGACACCTGCGTCACGTTCAGCCAATCAGATTATTCTATACCCTCCCGCCACAGTGCTTGGTTCGAGGATGAGGACTCAAGCCTGTTGGAAATCAGCCTCTGGACTTTGGCCAAGACAATTGAGAATGCGACTCTCTGTTTTCACTGGGGTCACTAAACAACTGGGATATGAGCTTGAAGTTGCAGGTGGCCATCAGTTCTCGAGGGCATCGTCTGCTGAGAATGAAGCCAACTAAGAGGAAAACAAAACTGAAAAGTGAAGAGAGATGAGCTCGTGGTGACATCACAGCTGAAGGGAGATTTGCAGCCAGACCTTTCAGTCCCATGAGCCAGCACTTTCCCTCTTTTGGTTTTGTTTGTTTTAATTGGGTTTTTGTCACTTGCAGTGAGAAATGCCCCAACTAGCAGAGCCACCTTGGTGCTCAGGGTGAAGTGCAGGGAGAGGAGGAAGAGAAAATGCAATGAGCAAATACAGTGAGCAACAGCATACAACCTGCTGGCCGGCAGAGGAGGAAGGCTTCAGCAGCACGGCTTTGTTGCAGCTAAAATACAACCGACCGGTTTATGCTTGACCTTTTATAGTCACAGTGGTAGATGGCATCGTGGGAAAGCAGAATCCTCAAGCAATTGGCACCAGAGTCATCTAGGAAGTTTTGTTTTGTTTTGTTTTGTTTTTTTTTAAGAATTCAGATTCCAGGGCTTTACCCAGATCTAATATTCAGAAGCTGAGAGTAGAGAGACCTGGAATTTGCTTTCTTAAAAGATTCCTAGGTTACCCATTAAAGTTTGACTGTCATGGCAGTCATTAAAGTTTGACTGTCATTAAAGTTTGACATCCACTGTCATGGCACTAAGAGCTCAGACTTTAAAATGAGAAAATCTGTGTTTGAATCTAGTCTCTGTTGTTTACTGTCTGTATGGCCCTGGGCCAGTAACTTAAACTCCTGCAGCCTCTTATCAGTGAAACGAGACCAGGATGCCTCAGACTTGTGAGGATAAGCGAGATAAGGTATGCATGTAAAGTGCTTGACAGTGTTTTCTTATATAAGAAGTTTTCAGTCACTGTTGTTATTATTAAAACCAACAACTACAAGGGAAGGGGGCAGACCTAAGAAAACACAAAAGGAACAGATGCGAGTTAGGTGCCCCTCCGGGTTTTTGACACAGCAAGCATAGTGGCTAAGACTGAAGTCTCAAGGAGGAGCACTTGAATGCCTGAATCAAATTCTGTTTCTGCCACTTACCAGCTCTGTGACCCCCTACTGCACTGCATTGTGCCTCGGTTTTCTCATCTGTAAAATGGGATTAATATTGGTACTTAACTCACGGCTTTTTTTTGGGGGGGGCGGGTAATGATGAAGTGAGATAATGAATGCCAAGGACATAGATGATACTTACTAGTTTTGCTATACCCATTTTCCTCCTTTTGCAATGACATGAATGCTTGTTTTTTATGCTTCGCTGCCACAGTGCCCTATTCCTCTGAGGCTCTCTCCCACCGGCCCCTGCCCTTGCTATTAATTATACAGAGAAATTATATTCAGAGAGAGGGCTGCCCACTCCCAGTCCTCCACTTGATCTGCACCGCCCCCCCCCAGAGGGCCCCAGGGCGGGGGACAGTGGAGAGGGGAACGCTCTGTGCTACGGGCCCTGTTTTTGTGCTGGCAGCCTACGTGCTTGGAGAAACGTCTGGAACTTGCAGTTGACATTTGCGAAGTGTCAAGGCCCTGAGCGTTTCCTTTCTATCGGAACCCCAGGAAACCTGGGGGCCCACGTTCTAAGCAAATGAAGAAAGAGCTGCCGTCTTTGAGCTGTAAGTCATGCTGCCGTTGGAGCACTGTGCTCCTGCCTGCTAGAGCCGTGGAGGTATTGAACGTTCAAGGATCTGTTCAATACAACTTTTCAAATGAAAAAAAAAAAAAAAACATTAGCAAGTCATATGAATGAGAAAATAACTGCAGGGGCAAAATGACTGTGTTTGGCAGTGCTACAAAAGTGGTTGGAAGAGTTTGAGGGATCATCTAAACCCCAAATAGAAGTTGGGCCTCATCTTCCTCATCTATTAAATTAGATGATCTTTTAATGTTGCTTTTAACCTTTACTATTTCATATTCTTAGATTCCAGATTCTATGAGGTTATCCAAAGTTGCTTCTCTTAGGAAGTCTCTCTCTGTCCCCTCTGAATTCCCAGCAGTGGGAGGCGGGGTAGGTGCCATCTGCAGTTGAAACTGGGCCATGTTGTTGAGCAGTTGACAAATCCAAATGAGTCTCTTCTGCCTGGGATGGGTGCGGGGTTGCATATTAATTTACAATTACTCATAAAGGAGACAGCAAAGGCTTCTCTTTTGTCAACACTTGGACATACAAATTAGGTAATATTGAATGGGAAATGAATATTTCATTTCCACCCTGCCTCCTCGTGCCAGTCACCTTAAATGAGACTAGATTAATATCCGAAGTGACTCACATTTGGTTAGGTGTCCAGGTCTGGCCCTCTCAGATGAGCTCTATTTTGTCCTCGATTTGTCAGCTGAATTCTGTTATTGACTATGTCAGACAGAAGCAGAACCCAGTGGCCTACCTCAAGCTTATACTGGGCATGAACTTCAGTGTTTCAAAGTGATCTTTGGATCTGACAATATGGCAGAGCAAACTCATCAAAAAGATGAAAAATAGAAATATGATTTTTAAAAATACTCTGGCATATAAGAAAGAAAAATCCCCAGGTACAAGAAATGAAGAGAGAAATCAAAGCCAGGACAGTAATGGAGAGTTGGTTTTATAGCAAAATTTATGACCCAGATATAGGTCCCAGGAGTTGAAGTTTGGGGATTTAACACCCACTGGGATACAGGAAATGTGGCCTCAAGTCCCTGCTAGGTACGGAAACTAGAACTGAGCTTCAGCATAAAGCCATGAGCCTTGAAAAGTTGTACTGTCCATGGAACAGTGACTACAAAAACTCCATATCTGAGTCCAGGAAGGAATCGAGAAACCTTGTCACCTTTTTAACTAGGACTCTAGTTAAAAAGAAGAAAAACCCAGGCCAGGCACGGTGGATCATGTCTGTAATCCTAGCACTTGGGAGGCTGAGGTGGGAGGATCACTTGAGCCCAGTTGTTGGAGACCAGCCTGGGTAACATGTGGAGACCCCAAGAAGAAATAGAAAAATTAGCCTGGAGTGGTGGCATGTGCCTGTAGTCCCAGCTACTGAGGAGGCTGAGGTGGGAAGATCACTTGAGCCCAGGAATTTGAGGTTATAGGGAGCTCTGATTACACCGCTGCACTCTAGCCTGGGTGACAGAGTGACACCCTGCCTCTAAAAAAAAAGAAAGAAATCAAAACCCCAGGTCTGTGCCACATATGAGTGTGGTATCCAAATGTATACTACTCATAAGTTAGCAGAAACTGCTCAGGTCTATGAAATCCCTAGGATATAATAGAAACAATTGTAAAACTGCAGTGTTAGGACATTTTTACAACTCAGGGCACAAAGGACTCACACCAGGTAATTAACCACAATGAGGAAGAGTTAGTAAATGTACCAAAAGGGTAATTAGCATCCCAAGAATCCAAAAATAATAGAAGGTATCTTTCAGACTATAAAATAAGAACATTTGATATTATTAAAGGTATAAGAGGAGTAGCATGATAAAAAGAACCAGCAAATTTAAAAGAAATATATAAGTAGAACTCATGCATATGTTGGATTTGCACAAAGCTGAGAAATTTCCCAGGAGACAAGACTTTCAATGCTAAAACAGGGAAAGTCTCATTGGGAAAACCAAGATGGTTGGTCGCCCTACTTCAATGGGGTTATTGAAGAGATTTTAATAAAGGGATGATTTACAAACTTTTGGACAGGGTTTGAGGAAACCAGTAAGGGCCGATGTAGCACCCTGGACCTAACAACAATGGGAAGCTGTTACTACCATTTAGCCTGAAGGGGCAAGGAGAAGATGTGGTTACAAAAACCCACAGAAGTAAGCTTTATGGAGGAGCCTTTAATGGAAGGAAAGAAGCGTAAACACATCATTTTCACTCTTCTCCTACCTCCCCTCTGAACCCCTGCTGGGACCTCCCATTGGCCAAACTCAGCTAAAGCCAGAGGGCAGGGGAAGCCATTGACCTGGTCCGTATGGGTCAGCCTCTGAGACATAGATAAAGAAGGGTGCAGCATGGGTCTTGAGGGGCAAATGAAAAATAATCAGGACAAACGCACCATGAAATCGATCATGTGAATACTTGCATATAAAACCTTGCAAGTTGAAGCAGGCTGTAACAATACCAAAATCAGGAGAAAACATACCAGGCTGAAAGTCAGGAGAGCTGAGCCCCCAGTGACATCTCTGTGTGGCTACGAGAGAATTCCTTCGTCAAACTTCTTATCTGTTGATTAACAATGGAATTGTTCTAGAATAGAAGTCTCAAACTGGAAGCCCATGGCTCAAATCTTGTTGCAGCTATGTACTGTTTAGGCAGTACGATGTTTTAAAATGAACCTGAATCATTCTAAAACATTGAAAAAGTCAGGAAAATTCACATAAGAATCTAGATTTCTAGCTTTCTTTGTGCTTTCATTTGGCGACAGTTGCCCAAAGGAGCCCTTTTAGGCAAGCCCTCCTTCCCAGTTCTACACGGTCCCATCTGGTCCACTTCACTCATTTATATGATATTACCTGCCTACTCCCTATAGGAATTGAAATATGCAACCTTGAATGAGCTGTTTCAGCTTTCAGGCTTAACAATCTGTGAAATTTAAGGTATTGCTGTATTTTTTTGCATATGATCACAGGCTTTTTGAATTTTCTAATGGAGGTGGATTGGGAAGTTGGCAGGTGGCTATTTTTGCATCTCTTCCTTTACATCTTAAAGACAGCACATATGCAGTTTTATGAAGCATATGGTTTTCCATGTGCATGACTACACTTTGTTGATTTTTCCTTTTCCTATGTTCTCCAAAAGCCCGGTAGAATAAACACAAGCTGCCACTTGGAAAACAGTTCTGAGGAAAAGCCCAGCTGGGGAGGCAAATGTGAGAGGATCCAAAAAGCTGCCAAGTGACCGTATTTTGGGAGTAAGTGTCTGTAGTTCACGAAAACCATGGCTCCTTTTCTCCCCTTCCCCTGGGATATGATGAGCACGAAGTGAAACAGCTCCTGGGTGGTGTTGGCTTTGCTTGTTGCAGGACGTGGGGTTAGAAAAGGCAAATTCAGCCTCTCCGTGGCAAACCTTGACCGGAAACACGTGGAAATGATTTACCGGCTGGTGGCCCTGGGTTTTACGTTTGTCAACAGCCATGGCAGGAGGTGACAGCAAAAAGGAGAATCTTTTCTGGGCTTGGGGAAAGATAAACCTGAAAGGAGTTCTCCATAGACCAGTCCTGCTCAAGAGATGCTAACGGTGAGCTTGTCAGGTCAGGAAACCTCGAGGTAGGCAGGCATTAATAGGAATTGCGTTAACGTTCCCTATGGACCAGGAAACTGGGACTCTCTAGCCCACATTTAGTCCTGAGAACGACTGCTCACCAGGCCCGTGGAGGATTTCCCTTCAACCCAGCCCTCAGTGCTGACCGGTTTCAGCTACTGCTGGGAAATGATTCAGCCAAAAGGTTGAAGTAGTCAAAGAGACGCTCCTAACTCCTTTTCTAGAATAAACAAGGATTGTAGGTTGAGTATGAATTATTAAAATGAATTCATTAAAATGTATTCATTTTTCTCTGGACAAGTCTGGCGCTCGCTAATCACCTTTGCCTCGAGGCACAGGTGACACTCCACCTGTGTGGAGTGTCGCAGGCTGGACTGGCTCCTGACGAAATTGTTAACGAACAAAATTTTGATTACTGTTCCAGAGTCTCTCCTGTTCTCTTTCCGGGGCCTCTTTTGTTGTCCACCATTTGTCATTCCTATGTCCTCCTGCACACCTGGCTTAGTGTACCTGCCTCACCTCCTAGCCCACCCGTCCCTCAGCCCCCACGAAAGCTAACTTCCCTGTGTCACTGTGTGTCAGTGAGCTTTCCTGATCTGTAGGCAGGCAAGTACAATTTAGCGTCCAAACTGGGACACTTTTGAGAGTCAAAGAGTACTGTTAGTAATTGTCTTAGTCTGAGGGGGCTGCTATAACAAAATGCTATGGACTGGGGGGAGAGGGGGCTTATAAACAACAGAAATTTATTTCTCACCGTTCTGAAGGAGGGGAAGTCCAAGCTCAAGATGCTGACAGATTCCATGTCTGGTGAGGACCAACTTCCTGAATCATAGATGTCGCCATCTTGCTGTGTCCTCATATGGTGCAAAAGGCAAACGAGTTCCCTTGGGACTCTCTTATAAGGACACTAATCCTGTCCGTGAGGGCAGAGGCTCCCAAAAGGCCCTACCTCCTAATTGCATCATCACTTTGGAGGCTAGAATTTGAACATCTGAATTTTGGAAGTACCATATCAATAATTACACCTACATGACAACATTTTTATCCACCCCAGAGATACATCTGTATTTCCACAGGGGGCATTCTAGAGACAGTTTGTTTTGACCCAAAAAGGGACTCTTAAGGTTGGAGATTTTGCTATTCTGATGTAGTAGCAGGTAAGTTCAATGATTTAGGGGCAGGTAGCCCTTTTGTAGCAGATCAAATCCAACCAAGTCAGTGTCTAGAGAGTCCTATTAAGAAATAAATAATCTGGCTCCCACGCTTAGAAACTTTTAATTTGATTTGTCAAGTCAGAACCAACAGGGATGAAAAGGTAGTTGAGACAGATTTAAAGAAAAAAAGTGATATGTGTGTCACTTTTTAATTGGAACCAATTTCAAACCTCCATCTCCCACACTTTCCAAGAAAGAGAAACAAAACGCTGACCTGCTCTTGGCAGAGCTGGAAGCTTACATTCTGTGGGATGGCAAAGGGAGGTAAATAAACCATGAAATTGTAAGAACTGTTAATAAGTGCTATCAGGGAAACAAACTAAGAACAAAGGCAAACAGCCAAGTAGGGCTACTCCGGGTGTGGCCAAGGAAAGCCTCTTGGAGGAGCTGGCATGTGTCTGCGACTTGAAGTGTGAGATCGGCCCAGGGAATTGAAGGGGCAGGGGACAACATCCAGACCACACATGCAAAGGGCTGGATTGCTGGGCTGCGCTTGAGGTTGTGAAAGCAGCAGAGTTGCCTGGAGGGTGGGGAGGAAAGGGCATGGAACAAGGTAAACTGGGGAGGTGGGCTAGGGCCTTAAAGACCTCTGTGGAGTCTGGAATTTATTCTAAATGGCACAAGGATCCCTTGAAGTACGCTGAAATGTACAGAACGCAAGTGTGCCGTTCTACCAGGAGTGACAAGTGCACACGCCCTATAATAGATTTCCTAGTCACAACTTAGAATATTCTAATCACCCCAGAAAGTTCCCTGATGCCCCCATTCCAATCAATTACTACCCCTAGCAGGCAACCATTCTTCTGTTCTACTACAATATACATGGTTTGCCTATTCTTAACTTCATATAAGGGAAATCATACACTGTGTATTGTTTCTTGTCTAGCTCCTGCTCAGCATAATGTTTTTGAGATTCATCCAAATTGTTATTTGTATTGCTAAGTAACATTCTATTATATAAGTATACCATAATTGGCTTATCCTTTTTTCCCGTAGGGGACTTTTTTGCCTTCCAGTTTTTGGTTATTACCAATAAAGCTACTATAAACATTTCTACTACACAAGTCTTTTTGAGGGCGTATGTTTTCTCTTCTCTTAGGTAAATAACTGGGAGTGGAATTTCTGGATCATAGGGTAAGTATATTATTATTTCCTTTTATGCTTTGAATTAATCAGCTTTATTGTGGTATAATTTACATACAATAAAATCTCACTATTTTAAGTAAATTATTTGATGAGTTTTGACAAATAGAGGCTGTGTGTAACCATCACCACAATCATAATGTAGAACTTTTACACCATCCCGCAATTCTTTGCAGTCAATCCCATTGCCCTTGACAATCATTGATCTGATTTCTGTCATCATTTCTAGACTTTCATTCACACACACACACACACACATACACACACATATATATACACACACACAAAAAAAATACACTTTTATTTTAGACAGAATCTCACTCTGTTGCATAGACTAGAGTGCCATGATGTCAGCCTAGCTCACAGCAACCTCAAATTCCTGGGCCCAAGCAATTCTCCTGTCTCAGCCTCTCAAGTAGCTGGGCCTACAGGCCTGAACTACTACGCCTGGCTAATTTTTTTTTTTTTTTGTATTTCTAGTTGTCTAGCTAATTTCTGTCTGTTTTTAGTAGAGATGGAGTCTAGCTCTTGCTCAGGCTGGTCTCAAACTCCTGCCCTCAAGCGATCCTTCTGCCTTGGCCTAGGATTATAGGCATAAGCCACTGTGCCTGGCCTACACTTTCATATATTAATGAAATTATATGTTTTATAGTCTTTTAAGTCTCACTTCTTTTACTTATCATAATGCTTTTGAGATTCATTCATGTTGGTACATATATCAGTATTCCCTTATATTGCTGAGTAGTATTCCATTGTAGACATATGCCATCATTTGTTTATCCACTCATCAATTGATGAACATTTAGGTTGTTTGCAATTTTTGTCTGTTTTGAAAAAAGTTGCCATAAACATTGAAATATAAATCTTAAGAGTGGAGTTGCTGGGTTATGTGGAAAGTATATGTTAATTTATATGAAAGTGAAATATGTATTCCAAAGTAGCTATTTATTTTGCATTTTGTACCAGTGGCCTCATACCCTTTTAAAAATTTTAACCATTCTAGTTAGTGTGTAGTAGACTATCATTTGGTTTTGACTTTTGACAATTTGATTATATGTGTATAAGTGCTAATCTTTCTGAATTTATCCAACTTTAAGTTTGTTGAACTTCTTGGATGTGTAGGTTAATGTTTTTCATCAAATTTGGGTAGGTTTTGGCCATTAGGCCTTGAAATATTCTTTCTGTCCCTTACCCACCTCACCCCCACTCTCATTCTGCATCTGTTTGTACACTTGATGGCATCCCACAGGTCTCTGAGGATCTGCTGATTTTCCCTTATTCTTTCTTCTTTCTATTCTTCAGATTGGGTAATTTCAATTAACCTCTCTTCACCTTTGTTAGTTATTTCTTCAGTCAGTTCAAATACACTGTTGAGCCCCTCTGGTGCATTTTCACTTCAGTTATTATGCTTTCCAACTCCAGGGTTTATATTTTGTTCTTTTATGTAATTTCTAATTTATTTACTGATATTCTGTATTTGGTGAGACATTGTTCTCATAATTTCCTTTCTTTTTTTTAGATGTGGTATACTTTAATTCTTTAAAGATATTTAAAATCTTTGACTAGTAAATTCAATGTCTGTGCTTTTTCAGGGAGAGCTTCTATTGATTTCTTTTTCCCCCTGTGTATGGGTCATATCTTCTTATTTCTTTACATCTCATTTTTGCTGTTGTTGAAAACTGCATATTTTAAATAATATAATATGGCAACTCTGGAAATTAGATTCTTTTCTCTCCCCCTGGTTTGTTGTTGTTTCTTTTTCTTGTAGTTGTTTGTTTTAGTGACTTCTCTGACCTAATTCTGCCAAACCTGTATTCTTTGTTGAGGGTGACCACTTAAGTCATTCGTTAGTTAGCTTAGTGGACAACTAATGATTGGATAAATATTGTCTAAAATGCCTAGAACCAAAAAGTCACCCCGTCTTTGCAAAGGGGCTATGTGTGACTGCTGGAGCATGCCTTAAACCCTCAGCCAGGCAGTTGACAGCTCTACCTGAGCCCTCAACTCCTGCTTGCATAGAGCCTTGAGTAAGCCAGAGGTGAGAGGCTGGGCTTTCTCAGGTTGTTCCTGTACTCATGCACGTGGCCTCATAGATCCTCAAGAATATGTTAAAGCTTTCCAAAGCCCCTGTGGACATCTCATTTTCCAGACTTTCTTTTAAGGCTTTTTGGTCAGTCACTTGTTTGCTAACTGTTACCCACTCCCTCAGACAGCCATGATAGTAAACATTTGCCTGTCACTACTTTTGACAAACGCCCCCAAGCGGGGACTGGGTGAGCTCTGACTCAGGTAAAATAAATACAGCCTTGTTATTGAAGTCTACCAAGGAACCAGAGACAGGTCAAATAATGGCAGTTCCTTGGGATTTGGTTTCGAAGGAGCTCTAACCCCATTCTGCCCTTCCAGTTGCTGCCACGATACTGGTTTTCACTAAGGGCAACTTACAATGATACAAAGCTCATTGTTATTACTGAGATTCAGTTCTTTTTCTTGAATAAATGTTCCCCAGATTGCTGCAAGGCTTTGGTTAATTCTGAGAATTCTAAAAAAGTTTATTCCAACCATTTTTGTAAGTTTTCTCATGCTTTTATGGAGGAGAGGATTTTCAGGGATGCTCACTCTGCCATTTTCCCCATTTGGTTTCAATATGCATTTTCCAATGACTGTTAACATCTTTTCACGTGCTTACGTGTCATTCTTACAGATTGGTGAAATGTCTGCTCAAATCTCTTTTCAATTTTTAAAAATTAGGTTATTTTATTTTTAGTGAGTTTCAAAAATTGTTTATATATTTTGTATACAAACCCTCTATCAGATATGTGTTCAATCAATATTTTCTCCAGTCTGCAGCATGTATTTTCAATTTTGTAACAGTATATTTTATAAAGCAATTTTTTTATTTTGATGAAGTCTAATTTATCATTGTTTTTTCTTTTATGGTTCATGTTTTATGTCCTTTCTTAGAAATCTTTCTCTAACTCAAGGTTATAAGGTTATCTTCTAGAAGTCCTGTAATTTTAGTCTTGGGTTTAGGTTTATGATCCATTTTGAGTTAATTTTTTTTATGGTGTGAGGTTCATTTTTGTATGTGTATATCTACCTGATCTTGCACCATTTTTTGAAAAGGCTATCCTGTCTCTAACTGAATTACTTTGATATTTTTGTCGAAAATCAATTTATTAATATTGTTATTCTCTATTTTGTCCCACTGTTCTATATGTCTATTCTTACACCATTATCACACTGTTTGGTCATTCTAGTATTATAGTAAGTCTTGAAATTGTGTGGTATGAGTCTTCAATTTTGTTCTTCTTTAGAAAGGGTATGTTTAACTTTATAACAAACTGCCCACAGCATCCCAAGGTAGTAGTGCCATTTTATTGTCCAAATGTATTGGAGTTCCAGTTGTTTCCAAAACTTGTCAATACTTGGGTTCTCTTCCTTTTTAATTTAGCCATCTTAATGGATGTGAAATAGTATCTCATTATAATTTTAATTTGCCTTTCCATGATAGCCAAATGATTTAGAGCACCTTTTTATTTGCTTTTTGGCATTACATATGTCTTCTTTTTGTGAAGTTTTATTTTCCTTTCGTGAAGTTGCTTTAATTGGGGTTTTTGCTTTTAATTATGAATTTGTAAAAGGATTTTATGTATTCTGGAAAACACGTATACATTTCCTCCTAGTCTAAGACTTGATTTTTCATTTTCTTATTTGTGTCTTTTCATGAGCATTAAGTTTCTAATTTTGATGAAGTCCATTTGATCTTTTTTCTTTTATGATTAGTGCTTTTGGTTTTGCATCTAAAAAACCTTTGCCTTTCCCAAGGTTTCAAATTATTTTAAGTTTCCTTCTAGAAGCAACACAGTTTTAGTTTTTATGTTTAGATCTCTGATTCACTTCGAATTATATTTTTGATTATACAGGGACCCATTTTTCTCCCCCCAGGCATTTATCCAGTTGTTCCAGTGCCAGTTACTTTTTCCCTTTGAACTGCCTTGGTGCTTCTTTGAAGGGCTTTAAGCAGAGCAGTAATATAAGGCATTCACTGATGTGAGGAAAGTGGATGTGAGGGGTAGAGAGATCAGTGAGGAGGCGACTACAGCAGTCCAGGGTTGTCTGACAGTGGCCGCAGCCAAGGCAGCAGTAGTGGAGATGGGAGAAGTAGAATTGTTGGTCCAGAGTGGTGGAGATTGCTTTGTGTTGATTCTGCCTATACCCCACTCTCACCCATCTCCACAGTGCCAGCACACAGAAAGGAACAGCATAATATGGCGGACAGTTCCATCAATGATGAGTCAAGAGTCGAAGGTTTTAGTCTGCCTTGTGAAAACTTCATTTTCTCATAAACAAGTACCTCATGAATGATGTCTTTTTCTATCCTCAAATTATATGAATCTATACTGTTCTCTGAATGCTCCAGTCAAGGTGGCCAATGAATTTCTGATATCAATAAACTCTCTTTGGTCTTTACCTTATTTGAGCTCTCCGTAACACTGTAGACTTCACTAGCCACTCCTTTCCTCTTGAAACTCTCCTTTTCCTGGGGTTCCGGGACTCTACTTCCCTAATTCTCCAATTTCTTCTCTGGTCAGTTTTTCCTAATCACTATCACCACCTCCTCCTCCATCTGCACAGCATCTAAACATTGGCCTCACCAGGATTCTTACCATGGGCATATTCTAATTCTACATTCTTTTCTGGGTCATCTCTTCCAAGATACTTCACATGTCTAGATGCTATTGACTCACAAATTTCTATTACCAGTTAAGATCTTTCTCTCTTGGGTCCTGAACTTACATAGTTAACTTATATCTGACCACCTGTGACTGGATATCTTTCAAGCTTAAAATTTAATTTGTTAACATCACTCCTCAAGCCATCTCCCTTCCTAGTTTTGATGACTGGCTCTCCTATCTACCCAGCCTTCCAAATCAGATGTTTGAGAGTCATTCTAGAATCTTCTCTCTCCTTGACTGTCCACACTCGATCCCTAAAACAGTTCCCTTCTCTTTCCTTAATATTATTTGTGTTCTTAACCAAATTAGAATGCTTATAAGAATGACGGGGGAGCTATTAGTCATTATGCCAGGATAACCGGTGGAAACCAGGACTACTCTGGGCCAACAGTGAAGTGTGATTAGCATAGAGTCCAGAAGCAGAAAGAATTTATCCCAGAGTAGTTTGTGAAAGCATACCGCCCTTGACGAACTGAGAGAGTTGCTAGTCTGGGATGAGTGTGTGTGCACATGTGCAATGGGGAGTGACACAGTGAGAGATGAAGCTAGAAAGGTCACTGTGATATCAGGTTCTGCAGGCGTAAAATGTTTCTTACCTTTGGAATTAATCATGAGTGGCTGACATTATTACTTGCCTGCTTAGCATTCATTTCCTTTCCCTCCTAACAAAAGCCATCCTCCTTGTAGCCACAGACTTCAGGAGAAACTGACCCTACCGCCATCTCCTGTGGTGAGTCTAATTGGTCCAAGGGTCATCTCTGTCCTTTTGCCAGAGATTGGCTCATGGGGCAGATGACCTAGCTGTAGTAGTCAGTAGTACATTAAGGGAATCTGCTCCAGGGTTTCCGAAAGCGTGTCCTCATTCCTAACAGAAAACCACAAGAAGGGCTTGTCCTGCCTAGATGGCATGCCTGTAATTGCTGCAGCCATTTTAATTCCAGGTATGAGGTTGAAGCAATCACTGATGGCAGGGTGGGAGATGAAAGGGAGCAGGATTCTGGATGGGTTTGTGAGTTGCTAAGCGACCAACCCCTGCCCTACCTCTGGACTTCATCGAATTGGAAATGATGCTTGCTTTATTACTTAAGTCATTAAGTTGGCATTTTTCTATTACTCATAGCCAATAACACTCTGATATACCATGAAATTTAAGGATGTGAAGTAATGGCCTTGACTTTGAAAGAACTAGAGGAAGGGTAACTTCCATGTCACTTATTGGCACTATCGCTTGTTTGAAAATCAGGGCTGGTATTTATTTTACTTTGTGCTATTACTTATCTTTCCATGTGACTGTTTTGAACATCCATCTAGTCTGGAATCCTTTTAAAATCAAGGACTGGGATAAAACTTTTACTTCTTCGTAGGCCCAGAACTCTTTACATAATCCACACATTTTTGTCAATTAATGACCCCCACACAGATTCTTTTGGAAGATGACCAAAACGCTGTCTCTATTTGGGGATAATAATTAGTCTCATTTTTATAGGCTTCCTCTTGAATGTGGAGGGAATTACAGGATAAGTAAATAGGAACATGGTGGCCATGTGGGCTGCTGCCCCTGGATACTACTTGGAGACCAGCCTGGCATGGAAATGACCAGATGTTTGAAACTGAGCTACTGGTGAGTGAAATAAATAAGTTAGCTGTCCCACTTCCCATCTGCATGGATGGTTTCTGCATTGCCAAACCGCTGGTGCCTGTCATCTCACATGGCAGCAATGGCTCCCTTAACCCCTTCCTAAACTTGGCGTTGGAAGGCCCTGGAAGGCCAGTCAGACACTGTGGGCATGTGTACACTAGTGTCCATCTGTTACTGGCATTCCTGGAAGCGGTGGCTCAACTTAAATCATTACCCAGATACACAGGTGCTCCTGGACCTGACAAAGTGACCTGTAGTAAATGAGAAATGACCGGTTAAAGGCAATAAAAAGGAGGCAGAGGGGTTTATTAGACAGCCTTGAACTAGTGGAAGAAAGATGATGGTCCAATGTGTATTTGGGGTGTGCCAAAAAAGGGCTTGTCTTACAGGTTATTTGAAAACAGGAGTATGGTTTTCTTTCTCTCTCTCTTTCTCTCACTCCTCCCATTGATTCTTTTTCTGAGTGTACTGATACTATATGCTTTTTGTGAAACCTTTGAAAAATAGAGGAAAGTATAAGAAAAAAAATTTAAATCACCTGTATATTTAGTTTCTAACATTTCAGTATATATCTATACAGGGTTTTTTCCTAGCTGTGTGATCATTTATTCAGTCGACAACATTTCCACAAATATTTAATGCATTCTGTATGTGTCAGGCGCCATGTTGAGCAATGGAAATATAGTTGTGACTAATAATTGGCATAATCCTTTATCGCATATAACTTTGGGTCTAGCAGAAGTGACATATAAATACACAATTGCACTTAGAATTATTTAATCTCAAGTTTGACAAACTCTACAAAAAACAAATAGTGAGTCTTTTGGGAGAATAGGGGGTCCTAACCTGGCCTGAATGGATCTGGGAGTGCATCTAAGGGGAGGACCCTTAGGTCCCGCTGAAGCTGAGACCAGAATGGTGAGAAATGGCTGGCACGGAGAGAAATGGAGGGAGGAGCTTGCCTGAGGTCCTGATGGGTAGACAGTGAATAGATGGGGGTCAAGTGGCTTTGTGGAAGTTGGAGAGAAAACTAGGGGCCAGATTCCATAGGACAAGTGTCTATAAACTACAGCTCAGGGGCCCCAATCCAGCACCCCACCTGTTTTTGTCAATAAAGTTTTATTGCAACACAACCACGCCCATTCATTTATGTGATGTCCATGATTGTTTTCACACTACAATGGCAGAAATGAGAGGTCGCTACAGAGACTGTATGTTCTGCAAAGCCTAAAATATTTACTATCTGGGCTTGTACAGAAAAGTTTGCTGACCCCTGTTATAGAGCCTTGCAGCTGGGCATGTGGTGGAATTCTTTTATCACAAGTACAATGGGAAGGCTGTGAGAAGAAAGCAGGGAAGAAATGCAATCAGATTTTCTTTTAAAAGGACTCTGGCCACAGTAGGGGGGGGGTACAGATTAGAAATGAAGTCTCTGGACTGGGAGCAGTGGCTCACGTCTGTAATCTTAGCACTCTGGGAGGCCCAGGCGGGAGGATCTCTAGAGGTCAGGAGTTTGAGACCAGCCTGAGCAAGAGTGAGACCCTGTCTCTACTAAAAATAGAAACAATTAGCTGGATGTCATGGTGTGCACCTGTAGTCCCAGCTACTTGGGAGGCTGAGGCACAAGGGTCCCTTGAGCCCAGGAGTTTGAAGTTGCTGTGATCTAGGCTGACGCCACAGCACTCTAGCCCTGGCAATGCAGTGAGACTCTGTCTCAAAAAAAAAAACAAAACAATTAGAAATGAAAACTCTGAGTGGGTTTGGGGCACCTAAGAGTATCCAGGAGAGAAGGGCTGGTGGTTTGGACTAAGATTGTGCCAAGTGGGCATGGAAAGAAATAGATGGAGACTTCTTTGGAACAGGACTTGGTGACCAATGGGGTAGGGAAAGTAAGGAGAGAGAGGCGTCCAGGGCCACACCCAGATTTCCGCCCAATGCACCTGCCCATTGGGAGCTCTAGAGGAAAAGCAGGACTAAGATGGAAAGTCAGGAGCTTTTAACGCCTGCCTAGTTTACCACAGTGGATAATATAACCTGACCCTATTATTGGACACGGATATTGTTTCTATCATTTTTCTTTTTAAAATAATGCAGTGATGAACTCATTTATGCATACCTCTCATTGTTTTCTTAGAATACAATCCTAGAAGCAGAATGGTTAGAAAAAAAGGCTGCACACACTCTTTAGCTCTTTGATCGGTATTGCCAAATTGCCCTCCAGAATGTTATTCCAGTTTATACTCCCACCTGTGTGTGCTGCCGCAGCCATTTTTGGCTTGATAGACAGCAAATGGCCATAGGGTTGGGTGTCAGAATCTGTACTGTGTCTTAAAAAAAAAAAAATCTCCTTTGTTTCCAGCTCAAGGTATTAGTGCTTGAAAGATTTTCCGTGTTTGAAGGGATTTTTATGGTGCTGGCCTAGCAGTTGACCTTTCTGTGGTGGATTGCGAACATTCTTCAAAACTGTGGCCGACACCCAAGGTAGGAATCTGGCAAACTGCCTCTCCAGTTTCGTCTCTCCTTGGTATGATAAAAGGCAACTTACAACCTGAGTCACATTAGACGCCTAATATATGTTAGCTGGTGTTCTGGGCCACATCTCTGTCTCCAAAGAGGCTTTTGTTTTATGCGGCACATCCGTTTCCTGTCATCCTCCACGGCCTTGTATCCAGCCTGACTGCCACTGGGTAGCAGCCGGACTAATGAAGCCTTTTGGCACAAGGGACAGGTTTGTGGCATCAGGGAAGCCTTCTCGGTTGACAGTGGGAAGACAGGGAGGTCTGACTTCGGGAGCCAGACAACCCTGGACGTGAACCCCGGCCACATCTGTCATTGGCTGTCTATCGCGTGGGGTCACCTGACTGCTCTGACTTTCCTTTCTGATCTGTAAAGAGAGCTTCAGGGACTAGCTCAGAAGTTGTTGGCAGGATTAGCCACGGAGCCTGGCGGGTGCTGAGCCTAGTCCCTGGCACTGAGCAGGTGCTGGGAAATGGCGCTTTACTAAAAAATAAAATTGGGGGATCGTCTGTGGAGTTTGGGGGTCTGCTGCTCTCAGCTGCCTAAGCTCTGAGTCTCTAAATTCTCTCAACACCGAAGTGATCACAGCTCTTTATTTAAGAAGGAAGAAACGATGAGTGCGTTTAATTTTCCAATCCCTGTTTTAGGAGGCAGCTTTCCAATGGTGGAAAGACAGTCATGGACAAGGTGCGAGGCAGGGCCCGCCTTCCCCAGCCGGATGTACCACCTGAAACTGCCAGAGTGTATTTAGGTTAAAATTTCACCTCCAAGATGCCTTTGTTGAAATACAGATATCTTCAAAAGGGAGGTGGCAGACATTAGCACAGACGTTGAAATCAGATGACCTGGAGGTTAATCCCAGTTCTGCCACTTATATGCTGTGTGACTTTGAACAAGTTGCTTCATGTGCCTCAGTTTCCCCATCTGTATGATGGGCAGGGGCAGGTGGGATAATGCCTATGACAGAATAAGTGCTCAATAAAAGTTAGTTACTGCTAGAAGCTATTCCTAAACCCTGAGAAGAAGGGGCCGGTGATGATATGACTCCACTGAGAATAAATTTAAGTTTCTCTTTCATGCGGGTGAGTTTCCATCAGGCCTTGCAAAACAGGCGCTATTTTACAGATGAGGCCAACTAAGTCTCAGAGAGATTAATTGGTGCTGAGTCACATGGCTTCATTAGGATGGCCTGAAGAAAAGGGTATAATGCACATATATATATAGCCGTGTCCCCAGTAACCCTCCCGAATAACTTTTCTGGGTTCCCAGGCGGGCCCATGGTGGCAGCTCCTGAAATCCACCTGCACCCTATCTGTGCTGGACCGTTCCCAAATGCTTTCCATTTTAGGGGAAGACAGGGCCTTTGGCTTTGGAGAGCAACTTGCGAAAGCAAGGTCAGATTTCAAACCCAGAGGCCATACGGATCTCACACGTCGGCTCTTACGGTGGTGACTAGGCATTTTAGAGATGAAAAATCATCTCTGAGACAACATAGGCATCTTATTTACAGACGATTGATCCCACTGTGTACTAAGGCCAAATCCACTTCTGGCTTCATGCCTGGTGACGTGGGGAAAATACCACGGCTGCCACTTTGTGGGTACATTTCCATCTGCCGGGTGTTCTCTGGGTTCCTGGGGGAAGTGAGTCAACACTCTGTCAATACTATGGATTTAGTGTCTTGATGTGGGTTCTAATGAGAGAGTTTTCATAATGCTTCACACACTCCCAGCCCCGCCAGCCACAAGAATGAAATCAAACCCAGAGACCAGGTGCGTAGGAACTCGCTTTTCTTTAGCTTGAGATCTTTCGCCTGATAGAGTCCAAGATCCCTTATTTCCTTCAATATGTAGCTCATCAGCGCCTACTCTGCGCCCCTCACTGTTCCAGAAGAGAAGAAAGGAAGCTTCCAGAAAATTTGCTGCAGTCCAAATGAAGCTGAACTCAGACAATAATAATTACGATAACGCCTCCTATTTATTAAACATTTACTATGTGCCAGTCACTGTGCAGTTTATCCTCCCTAAAGTCCTCAGTTTTTAGGTATTGTTGTTATCCCTATTTTGCTCTTAATGAAAATAAGACACAAAGAGGTTAAGAATCTTTCCCCAAATGACATTGCTGGACAAGTAGTGGAGTTGAGTTTCAAGCCCAAATACATTTGATTCTCATATCTATAGCAGTTATATTCTATAAAGAGGCTGCAAACACTGAATTATCCAACACTGAGCCATTCATTGCTCCTAGGGGAAATATAGGGTTAGGTTCCTGTGAGCCTCTGACCACATTTTCATTAGTTGATGAATTTATAACCTTGTTTTAAGTGGTGTTTCCGTTGAAAGACATCTTATTGAATACATACTTTTGATTCATGAACGTTGAACTTACAGCCAACAGCACTATGACTCATGCCCAAATGCAACTTCTTCTAACACACACGTTTTCTCTGTGAGGCACATCAAGCTTTCTTATGCTTAGGATCACTAGGCAGTGATCCTTCAGCACTATGCTTTGGCACCATTTTAAACAGCAAAATCACCAACACAAAGCACAAAAATGAGAAAAATGTGGCACTTGATAGACTGCAAAAGGGACACTTGTTTACAGCCTGAGAACTGAAACAAAAAAAGAGCAGAGTGTCACCTTTTTGTCCCACTGCAGCTAGGAATATGTGTATTGGGCAACTCAAATTCTTTGCTGCTCTGAGAATGTCTGTAAATGACTGCACAAGTGCCACGAGCATTGATTTTGGAGTTATAAATACATTTTAACAAGTGGGGAAATTCGCAAATACAGAATCCATGAATGGGGAGGATTGATTGCAGTCTTATTCCAGAGCATGTTCCTGCTCGTCTTCACACTTCACCCTGCTGTGGTCAGCAGCCTCTGAGATTGTTCCCAGTGATCAATCCTCACCTCCTAGTCTGCATGCCCTTGGTAATGCCCTTGGACATGCCAATCCCCTTGAGTGTGTGCCAGACTTAGTGACTCATCTCTAATGAATAGAATGTGGTTGAAGGTCATAGGATATCACTTTCAAGATTAAATTACAAAAAGATTATAGCTTCCATCTTGTATACTTTTCTTCTCTTGTTTCTACTGTGGGAAGCTTGCTGCCATGTTTTGAGCTGCCTTGGGAAGTGGCCAATGCAGCAAGGAATTGAGAGAGCCAGCAGGAAAACGAGACCCTCAATACAGCAAGAGACCGAATCCTGCCAACAACCACGTGAGTGACTATGTCCTTCCCCAGCCAAGACTTCAGATGAGACTGCAGCCCCAACCAACACATTAGCTCTTGCCTTGTAAGAAACCTTAGAACAGAGGCAGCAAGCTAAGTCACACACAGATTCTTGGCCCAAAGAAACTATAAAATAATAAATGGTTTTGTTTCATGCCACTAAGTCTTGGGGTAATTTGTTATAAAGCAAAAGGTAACTGGCACAACTGCCTTCTCACAAGCTACATTTGTTATGTTGCTTGGCATTATAAGCTATGTTCTCTACACACCCCACTGCTTTTAATCTTCATGATGACCTGGTAAATTACTGATATCATTCTCATTTTGTAAATAAAACAATCGTCCCTCAGAAGGGCTGAGTAACTTGACCAATGTCAAACATATCTTTGACCTCAGATCAGATCAACCCCAAAACTCCAACCAGATTTGATTTGCATAACACCATAGAGCTGGGATTGGAATGGACCTCCTGATTTCAAGGCCCATTTGTTTTCCCTGTTTCTCATAAAAACAACCAACCTCAGGCTGAAGAAAGTTGAGATGAAACTGAAAGGCATGAGGGGTGACCACAGTGATACTTAGCATCTGCCACTGCTCCTCCCAAGCGCTTATCTGCAGAAGTGCTTCGTACCGAGGACTGTGTCAATGATATTTCTTACAAAGTGACCCAATCTGAATCTAATGATATTAGTATTTTCAGGCTGCCATAACAAAATACCAGAGACTGGGTGACTTAAACAACAGAAATTTATTTTCTCACAGTTCTGGGGGCTGGAAGTCCAAGATCAAGGTGCCCGCATGGTGAGGCCTCTCTTCCTGGCTTGTAGGTGGCCACTGTCTCACTATGTCCTCACATGGCTCTCACAGAGAGAGAGGGGGATCTCTATTGTCTTTTCATGCAAGGACACCAACTCCAACAGATTAGGGCACCATAATTACAACCTTATTTAACCTCATTACTCACTTTCTTCCCTCTCTCCAAATACCATTCCATGGGGAGTTAGAGCTTCAAGGTAGGAATTTTGGGGAGGGGCACAGTTCAGTTTGTAACATAAATCAACATTGATTTATTGGCCAACTATGTTCAAGGCTGGATAAAGATTCAAGATGCCACTCCCAGGGCATGGTCCTAACACCTGATGTGGGAACCGAAGGGATACCCAGTGACCCAGTCAATTCCTTACTTCTCTATACTTTGGTTTCTAACAGGCACTTTAAGACAGATGACCCCTGCATGGGAGGCCTGTCCTTGGGCTATGAATGACATTAGCAACTGGCCAAAACAAGTCCAACTTCTTCATTTCACAGATGAGGGCCTTGAGGCTCAGAGAGATAAAATGATCTGTCTGAGGTTGTAGAGCTTATTAGTGGCAGGGCCAGGACTCGGGCTAAGTGTCTTGGCTCCCATCCTTGAGACCCTTCTCCTTGGCCAGGCTGGGGAATGCGCATCCTGAGAAATCCTTATAGAAGAAAAGCACTGGAGCAATCCTTGCAGTCTCCTGGGTATCTGGGGGTGTGTTGGAGAGGGGTGGTGTGTGTGTGTGTTTGGTGGGGTGTGTGTGCGGAGTGGTGTTGGGCAGCACAAGATAGCATAGTGGGCACCTTTTTATTCCTCATTATTCAGTTTCTCCTCTTGGGCCTCTCTTCTTGTATAAAATAAAAGCCCCTCTTTGCAGCTCACTAGGGTAGGGATTGGCAAACTTTTTCTGAAAAGGACCAGCTAGTAAATAATTTAGGCTCTGTAGGCCAAAGGGTCTCTGTCTATGGCTAGCTTGAAAGTAGCCATAGACAATATCAAAGGAGTGTGTCTGTGTGCTAATAAAACTTTATTTACAAAACAGATGGTGAGCTGGATTTGATCCAAGGGGTGTATTTGCAGAGCCCCTGGAACTAGGGTTCTTTCCTCGTTCCTGACAAACACCCTCCCATGAACTCGCCCATCCCCTTTCTTATCTCAGGGAACCTCATGGCTCTGTCAGCCCCCCATCCCCCACCAGCTCTGGGCTAAATGTCACCATCACCAGTGCCACCCTGTCATTGTCCTATTCCATGCCAATCACTATATTAAACACCTTGCAGGCTTTATCACTTTCAATCCCTTCAAACAACACAGAGAGGTGGGTATTTCTCCCCACCTGGCATGAGTTGATTGAGACTTAGCCAACTAAGTAACCTATCTAAAGTTGTTGTAACTACTAAGTGCAGATTTGGGCTTGTTTTTTTCTGATTTCTAAATCTCAATTTATAAATCTCTTAATAAATTCTCTATTAACTAGTACAACGGGAAAACTCAACATAGTGAAAAAGAATACAGGGTAGCAAGTTAAAGCCCTCAATCCCAGTTGCAGACTTAGAGGTCTAGGCCAGGGGTCACTAGGCCAGGGGTCAAATGAAGGGTGAGTATCAGACTCTTCTGGGGAGGCTGTTAGCAGGCACAGTCCTGGGCCCAGCCCTCAGAGGTTCTGATTCATAGACATAGGAGGGGGCCCAGGAATCTGCATTTAAGCCAGCAACCCAGAAGCTTCTGGTCCAAGTTCTAGGAGCTGTGAGATGAACTGCAACTTCTAAAAAACTGGTAAACCCTGCAGTGAGACTTGGTGCAGCTAAGATTCTTTGGGGATGCCCACCTCCAGGTCCCTGGTCCTGCTGGGTTGCTCAGAAGTGCCACAGCTCTTCCCTTGATTCAGCGCTATGAACCTGACCTTGTGCTGCTTAGAAGGCATGACTGCTCCACACTGAGTGAGAACAGCCGCAAGAGGGTGAGAGATCTGCTTTTCTTTTCTTCTTCTTTCTTTCTTTCTTTTTTTTATTTCTCAATTCCTAGCATGTCCATGCATACCAAATGAGTTAATTCTACCAGAAACCTTTAATACCTCAATGCGGACATTTGGAGGCTTTGGAGGAAACAGGAGAGGGGCTTATTTGAATTTGAACCTTCAATAATCTCACTAATACAAATAAGTGAAGGATGACTCTGTTTAGCACATAAGTAGCTGGCACTTACGGCAATGTGGTAGTTAATGCATATTTTGCACAAATGATTTTTTTTCTGCTTGGTGATTTAGGCACTCACTCCCCCCCCCCCACCAGGCAGCATCTCAGCTACAGTGTGGGAGGCAGTGAGAACTCAATTTTAGAAGGTGACCGTCCTTTCAAGTTGACAACTTGCTTGCTTTTGGTCAATCCCCGCTTGCCCGCCCCAGACCCATCCTTTCTAGAAGCGTCCCATTCTCCGCATGAATGAGAAATGAAGGCGCCGCTGCAGGCGCGCAGGTGCAATGCATCATCCGGAGTGTGCGGCCGCCTCGCCGTATACTCCCGACGCGCCGTGAATGCTAAATTGCAGCCACCGGGATTCTCCGGCCCGACTTTCCATCAAGTGGGTATTGTTTGTGCGGGGGTGGTGGAAAGTGAGTAACGGCATGTAGTTTCATGGAGATGCTTGTTCTAATCAAATATTTCAAGGTCCGGTGTTCCAAATCTCATTACGACTTTGCTACAAGAACAAATGGAGTGTGTGTGTGTGTGTGTGTGAGAGAGAGAGAGAGAGAGAGAATGGAACAGATCAGGTTTATCTCCTAATATGTTAGCATAACAGAAAATAGCTCAGGAAAAGAAAGACAACAGAAGCCAAGCCCTCCCATCTGTGACACAGAATAACCCGTGGCTTAGGATATTTCGTGTAATGATTTTAAACCGCAGTAAAACCCCAGTACTTAAGAGCACAGACGCTGGAGGGAGACCCGCAGGATCTCAATCTTGGCTCCACTAAACGCTCCGGCTCTGCGGCTTTGGGAAATTCCCTCAACATCTCTAAGTCTCAGGCTCCTCGTCTTTAAAATGAAAGTAATAATGGTATTTCCCTCACTGGGTTCCTGCAAAGAGGAAATGAAATCGTGCATGTACAAGTACTTGCATGCCTGCCTTGCAGTAGGTGCTCAAAAAAAAAAAAAATGCTAGTGTCCTATTCATCAGCTTTTCATTCAATAAACATTTGTGGAGTGGCTTTTTATGTGCCACGCACTGTTTTTAGGTACCTAAGGAGAAAGCAGTGCACAGACAGACAGGAATCCCTACCTTTCTGCTTAAAGGGGTCAGACAAGTAAACTGCAACTGATATTAAGGGGTGATGAGTGCCTTGGAAAAAATTAAGCAGGAGATGGCACTAGGTAACAGCAGGGTGGGTAGGGATCGTTTTCCTGCTGTCCCCTGAGTTGCGTGAGGATTGCAATCTGGGACATGAGACTGGTGTGGGACTTCTGGGCATCTTATGATGACTGAAGAAAACTGAGATAAGAGGCATAAAGAGATTAGCACAGACCTGGTGATGTCAAGGCAGAGAATATTCGAGGGTGAGATGCAAGTAGGGATCTTTCCAGGAACACACAGAACACTGGAGCTGCCTCTTTCTCCTTACTGCTGTTAGTTAATGGAAGCTTGGGAAGAAGTGGTTTTACAGGCCATGATTATTATCTTTGCTATAAAAGGTTTCCTAGCTTGGGACGAATGGATGAGATAAAGGGAGCTTCTATAACTCCTGAATTTTTATGTAAAATGATGCATGTTTGTGTAGGGAGAAAAATCAGTAAATTTTATTCCATTCTCAAAGGAACCTTTGACCAAAGTAGGGTTGGAACTGCTTGTCTCTTTGATTCGTACCAGGGTAACCACACTGGACAGTGCCAGCTTACGCCCACTGTCCGTGAAGAGTATGAATAGGGTTCCTTTCCACCCTCCAAGCTGATATTAGGGTCTCCCAGGCTGTACAGCCCCTGCCTTACTTCTTCGTTTGATGCACTTCTACATCTCGTAGATGGCCCTCAGCTCTCTCGGTTGAGAAGAAGGGTCTAGAACACCATTCCAGTGGGCTATTGGGACCGCTGGTTGTAACATTCACCACCACCTGGGCTGCTGTCCGTGGGTATCCCCTGACCACAGGGGAGAGGACAGGAGCGGCTCCACTTTGGGACTCGGCAGTAAGATTCCAGAAGATTCCTTCCAACATACTTCTTCTCCTCCCTAAGTCTCTTTACATGCTCCCTCAGTCCCCAAACTGAATCTGTGATGTGCCAACCAGGGCTGTAGGCAGGATAAAGCAAAAAAACAAAG